TCCACTGTGCTTCAATCACTCAATCCCATGGCCACCCCTAGGTCATGTCGTCAAGAAACCACAGCACCTCTGAACCCATGACTTTTGAGTCCTCCAGTTCTTTTCATTTGGTTATTTTCACCATGTTTATTTTCCAAACTTATTAAGATCTGCAGTCTTTCTGCTTTCTCCTTTCCCCTTATCTATAATCTGCTTACTGTCCCCTATTCCTTCTCTACTGAGGAAGGACTCCATGGCTGATAACACTGGCCTCTGACCAGTGTTCTCAACTCCATTACTTCATTATTCTTCTGTTTTATCTGCCTGACAAATTTGAGAGTGTGTACCCTGAATCCAGCTGTCTGTCTTGGCCATTCCTTTACCTAAGCTGTTGGGCACTGGAGGAAAAAATCACCCTGTCACACAGATTGGGGCTACCTTAAATTTATGCTCAACAACCTCAGGTGGGACCTCACTGCTGCCTGCAGTCCTACTCTATTCTCCGGCCTGCTCATTTTCTCAGTCTCCAGAGGGGCTATTTCAAGGATTCGCCTCTTTCTGCACCTCCACGTGTTGGCCTCTCTACCTTCTCATTCTCACTTGGTGATTTTTTTCCCCCACATATCAGAGTTGGTTGGGGGTAGATGTTATGAGATGTGAGCAGTCTCAGTTTTCCATAACAACCTATACACTTTTTTTTGTGTGTGTGAGACAGGGTCTCACTCTGTCGCCCAGGCTGGAGTGCAGTGGCATGATCATGGCTAACTGCAGCCTCAACCTCCCGGGTTCAGGTGATCCTCCCACCTCAGCCTCCTGAGTAGCTGGGACTACAGGCCCATGCCACCACGCCTGGCAAACTTTTTGTAGAGATGGGGTTTCCCATGTTGTCCAGGCTGGTCTCAAACTCCTGGGCTCAAGCAATCCACCCGCCTCGGCCTCCTGAAGTGCTGGCATTACAGGCATGAGCCTACAACCTTTAAACTTACTTGCATCTTTACACATTTTTTTGACCTTGCCTCTTATTATAACAGAAAAACTCCCACTGCCTCCACCCAAGGCCAATCTCTTGGCCTGATGCTCTGGGTTCCATCTGTCTCTGACTTCTCATTGACCTCACTCTCTCAGTTATTCCTTCATACTCCTACCTTTGTATTCAACCTCTTCCTCTCCACTGGCTCTTCCCTTCTCAGACTAAAAAAGCCACATCCTCTTCCATCTACTGTCCTCTCTTCTCTTGCCAGCTAAACTTCTTGGAAAAATTGTCCACTCACTGTTTTAACTTCCTCACCTCCCACTCACTCTCCAAAATTCCTCTCTCCAAAATAACCCATGATCTCCGTGTAGCTAAATTCAAGGGGCACTTTTCAGTTCTCTCCTTATTTGACCTGATGACAGCATTTAACATATCCTCCTTTTTGATACTTTCTCTTTCCTGAGTATCTATGGCACCATCTACCTGCTCCCAGATAGCTCTCTCCATCTCCAACCCTTCTCTTGAGCTTCAGACCCTATAAGTTCCACAGGCATCTTAAACTCAAACTGAACTCATTTTCTCTTCAAATCTGTGTATCTCCTCCTGAGTTCCCCCTGGAGGTAGCAAGCACTGCCGTGGACTCATTGCTGCAGCTAGTCATTTGTGTATCATTCCTTACTGCTGTCTTCATGATACCTCATGTCCAATTGCATCACCAAGGGCTCTTGATCCTGCCACCTGAATACCTTTCCTACCTTTTTTCTTGTCTCCTTCCCCTCTACTCTCATCAGTCTCACCTAAACCCCAGTTTCCAGTCTTCCTCTCAAACCATTCACCATGCAGTAGCCATGTGAGTGTAATGAGCAAGGAGTCTCACAGATGCAAGAGTCCACAAACCCTCATGTGTGCAGTCATGGAATGTTTTTTCCTGGAGTTCGATTTTAGAATCTGAACCTCTAACCTTCCTTCTGGTGGACAACTTCATCTAGATTATCTTAAATGAATTCAGTGATTTGTCAACTGAGATTCCATAACTACTTCAGTTCAGAATTCAGTTTCAAACCTTCCTTCCCCTGTTCTTGCCTCTTACTCTTGGGGCTCCTGGGGCTGACCAGCCAAGGGAAGTGAGGAAGAAGATGGAGGTCCATGTGTGAGTAGCAGGTGGGTCTGGGGGAGCTGTCCATCTAGTCATTTCTGGAGTGACTCTAAAGCTAGCCTGAGCCGCTAATGCCATTGTTGCCTATTGTCTCAGCATAGGCAGGCCCCAGTGTGCTGTCTAGGGTACCGGATCCTACTGGCTTTGAAGGGTGGGGATGGGCTGTCTGGGTGGTCCTGCAGGTCCAATGTAGCTTCATCTCACAAAGAAGCAGTCACGTCCCCCATAATGCCGGAAGCAATCCAGGAACATTCCTTCCTTTTGCCCTCCACATCAGCTTTCATGTCAGATCATTTCTTCTCCCCTCACAGCATAGAGGTGAAAAACCAATTCACATTTACACATTTGTATGAGTTGGTTTCATTTTAATTGTTTCATCTCTGAGTTAAAGTGTGGAGCCCTTTGTATTTAAATTGTGCAATGTAGAGTCTGGATTTCTCTCAGCAGCAGACGATCTCCACAATCATTAACTTGCTTTCCAGTTTCCTGGCAGAAGAGTCAGGTGGGGTGTGTGCGTGTTTGTCTATGTATGTGTATGTTGGGGGGTGGGGGGCAAGGAGCAGATGAGCAGCCCAGAGCCCAAGTAGAGAAATGAGTGGAGAGAATACATTCCATTAATATTTCTCATATTATCCTGTCATGTGTTCTTTCCAAATCATAAATCTGAACAGGTTTTTCACCTGCTTAAAGCCATCTGTAGCTTCCCTATTGCCTTTAGGATGAAGTCTAAACTTGTCAACTTGATTTACAAGTTAAGATCTGTTTACAGATGACCTTTCCCACCTCATTTGCCACAATTTCCTTTCTTTCAGTTCCGTGGGTTCACCATACTCTGTTGCCTCTGGACTTTCTCACATTCCTAGAAGATTCTCTTCAACTTTTCCCTACACCTGGCTAATTCCTGCACATCCTCTGATCTCTGGTGAAACATCACCTCTTCCTAAGTCCTCCTTGACCTCTCTCCTACCTCTGACTTTGATTTGTCCCCACTATGTGCACCCATAACGTTCTCATATCATAGCACTTATCATATTCTAACTTTTTTGTTTGTTTTTCCACTTGACTATTAATGCTCTTAAGACAAGAATATCTGTCTCGATCAGTGTTCATTCTCCAGCACTAGCATGTGTCTGACACCTGATAGGTACTCAATAAATATTGTTAAATAACAAGTGAATGAATGACTGAAGAAAAATTGAATGTGCAAGCCAGGTGCTGGCTTCATGTGCACTGTCTTGTAGCAGGACTTAGTACTTTATTGTGTTTCCCCAAAAGCAAATCAACTCCACAGAGCAGAGGTGAGCAATGTGGATTTGACCAACAATTTTATGAGGAGACATAAAAGAAGCTTTAAATGGCAGACATTTCTATTCACCCCTCAGTGTTCCTCTTTGGTTTCCAGATATTGGGTCTTCCTCTCTTTTGACCCTCCCTTCCTCCCACTCTCTCACCCCCAACTAGCCTCTACTTCCCTTTTCTAGGCAATATCACTCTGAGAGGACTATAGAGGATGAATTGGAGAAAGATGAAGCTAGTATCAGGGAGTTCCATTTAATAGACAATTGAACAAGGCCAGGCAGAGATGATGAAGGCCTGAGTTAAGAAAATGACAAAATGACCTGAATCCCAGGACTTTGGAGGCCCAGGTGGGAGGATTGTTTGAAGCCAGGAGTTCAAGACCAGTTTGGGCAACATAGTGAGACCCTGTCTCTACAAAATAGAAATTTTTAAAAAAGGAAAAGAAAATGACAAAATGAAGAGGAGGGGGTGGGTTTAGGAGATGTTTGGGAGGGAAGATCGATAGGATGTGAGAATCGATTGGATTAGAGTAGAAGAGAAAGAAGAATATAGGGCATGGTCAAGATTTGGTGAATGCAAAAGGAGAAATAAAGAAAAGAAGAGGAGAGAAAAAAGGGTAGGGGTTGAGAGTTTCATAGGATTAGAGTTATTACCAAGGGAAGTATGAAAGAGAATTAAGCAGAGAAAGACCAGTATAAGGATTATAATCACCTGAGAGTCTAACAGGTTAGACACCAAAATTGGTATGGGCATTAGTATTTAAATTGTGTAATGTGGAGCCTGGGTCCCTCTCAGTGTCAGTCAATCTCCACAATCATTAATTTGCTTTCCACTCTACTGACAAAAGAGCCAGGTGGGGTGTGTGCGTGTTTGTCTAGGTATGTGCGTGTTGATGGGAGTAAAGGGGCAGGTTGACAGCCCAGAGCTCAAGTAGAAGAGAAATAATTGTGTGTGATTTTCTTTAAAAACTTGGGCTGCCAATGGTAAGAGCTGAGAAAATGGGTGGTAGGTTGACCCAAGACTTAGGATTTCTGAGACGATGGGGCAGAAGGATCAAGGGGCGAAATGATGAATGATTTTGTGAAAAGAATGTTCAAAGTGATGGACAATGGCATCTAGGCTCATCAGGGACAGAAATGAGCCAGGATGGGGCTGACAGACTGGGGGTGGGTGGGGGTAAAAGAGCAGGGGCCATGCATGGTGCAATGTTTACAGGAAATAGGAGTCCATAGGATGCAGGACCCAAGAGGAAAACAAACTGTGGAAAGGAGAAGTTACTCTTCCTTCTCTGAAATGAAACAGAAAAAGAGATAGAATCTTTAAGTATTTCTCAGTTGAGAAAAAGCAATGAGAGGACACCCACATTGGAGAATCTTGATTTCTTCTATTAAGCAAAAGGAGAAAGTTGCATGCAGAGGTGGGACTGGGGCTTGAGGGAAACAGGAAGGATTTAGAAAAGGAAAAGTGAGGACTATGGAAGGAAGGAAATTTTGAAAAATCAGAGAATTACCTGGGAGTAGTAAAGGCTCAGCTGGGACCAGTCAGCTGATATTGGCTTGGGTCAGATTTTTACATTTTTAATTTAATTTTCAGCAATATCTTTTGCTTGGGAGCAGAAACAGAAAGTACATGGTGGATTTCACTGAGGGTTAGAGATTTGGAAGACAGGAATGGATGAAGAACCAAGTGCATGAGGGCACCTATCAGGATTATTGCTGAAATCCTTATGGAGGTTACTGGCTGAGAGGAAGGCAAGCGAGTGAGGACTGATGGGCCCTTGGCACTGTGAGAACAGTGGAGGAGGAGGGAGCAGGGGTCATAAGGAGGAGCACAAACAGAAAGTTCAGAATAACACCAGAATCTTCCAAATACTTTCCCCATAGGGTGAAAAGGTAAATGCCCCTTTAAATCATTAACTAAACTGGCACTCAGATCTGGGCAGGCTCTCCCAGATTGGGCTGTTCTGTTTTGCCAGGAATTGATAAACTTCTGTGACCCCTCCAGGGTAAGTAAGCATGATCCATCTTCCCTGACTGGACAAGTTTGATCTGGCCTCCTTCCTCCTGCTGAAGCAGGCCTGAGGTGTGTGCCAGGATTCCATGTCTTATGCTAATACTCACATTCCACATACCAGCTCCTGCTGGTACTGCCTTTAGGCTTTTAGAAGGCCCTGCTTTGACCCTCCGTGGCTGCACCCCTCACTACAGGGTGAGGAGACTGTGTCACCTAGGGGATGTGTCCCCTCAGAACCACATTACCACATTGCTCCCTTCTGGACCACACTCTGGATAACTTGGACCACCTCAGAATTCCTTGCTCAAATGCCCCAAGCCCACTTCCAGGGCCTGCCTAGACTTCTTTTCCAGACCCATCCTCCCAAGAGCAAACCATGCCACTAGTGTATATGGTCAGCCTGAGAGGTAGCCAAGGGTAGCCTATTTGAAGAGGCATGCACAGGGTATGGATGTGTCAACTGGGGCATCTACATGCATGCATGAGAGGGCCTTCTCATTCAGAGTCAAGGATGGGAAGAGAGGGGGAATGTTTCAGGTTGGAGTCCAGCTCTCTCCGTGCCTCTCCATCCTGGTGCAGAACTCCAAGGAGTCCAAGCGTTGCACATTCAAACCTGACCTTCAGGTCTTTTGGAAGATAGAGTTATCAAGGTAGGAAAATAGAACATATTTTATTTAACAGTTTGACTTATAACTTTTATATCATTAGACACATGGAATATGGGCCTCCATTTGTACTCTTGCCCTTGGCCCCACAAATGTTAGGGAGAGGCCTGGCTCCTACAAGGTACTATTTACCTGTTGTGAAGAATAGCCCTTCAAAAGTGTTATTCTAAGTCTGTTTGACATAATAGGTCCAAACCGTATTAGAAGATGGTAAAAAACAACAATCCATTAAAAATCCTCTTTGGATTTCCAATTTTTGATATCACTTCATGTCATTTGAGACAGTAAGTTTTCCTGTTTTATTAATGTTTATATTTAAGCTGAATTTTCTAAAAGAATTGTGAATGTTTTTATTCTATTGTGACATTTAAGGTACGCAGCTGAGCCTTGAGTATAAGCCCCATCGGCTAAGTGCACATCAAACATGTCTACAGTACATCCCTTTAGAGCTTAACAGTTATTCATCACTTTTTCAGAAGTTCCAACGTTCCAGATGGTTACTGATGCATTCAGTCTGACCACTGCTAGATTTGAGACTTGTCCCACAGATCTGCACACTGTATCTTCATTTCTTCATTAACAGATCTTTTTTTTTTTTTTTTTTTTTTTTTTTTTTTGGAGGCATGGTGGTTCTCACTAAGTTGCCCAGGCTGGTCTTGAACTTCTGGCCTCAAGTGATCCTCCCAACTCAGCCTCCCAAAGTATTGGAATTACAGGTGTGAGCCACCACACCCAGCCTAGATCTCAATTAAGGGAGTAGAATCAGGTGACACTGAAAATGTTTGGTCATAAATCACAGTGAAGGGAAGGGGAGGCAGCTGTTAGATCATCTGACTTGTCCCACAGTCCTCATCCATTTGCATCTTGGCAAGCCTTCTGCTACATCTGAATCTCAAAATGGGGGATAACCTCTTGGGAGAGTCTATGCTAGTGCCCTTCTAGTAGCAGTTTACAATCTGCCAACAAATCTTGAAGCCTTATTTGGTTAATATCGATTTGAGAGGTGGGAGGTCCAGTTTCCAAAGAGTCAGGAAAGAGCATTCATCTAGGCTTGAGAAGCCTCCATTTCCTGACTCAAGAGTTCTGATTAGGTTATTGGTTGAGTGACACAAGGCAATCATCTCACTTTTGTGTTCCTGAGCTTCTTTTATAGAATGTGGGCAGGAGTGTGGAGAGGGAGAATTTATTTCATTTCCTGTTTCCAAACTTACTAAACTGTGGAACCTTTTTCTTTTGCAGCATTAGGCAAAACTAATGTTCTAAGGAACACTCTTTAGGAAAGGTCAGCCAGCTCAGTGGTTTTCAACAGGCATGTGGTACACATTTAGTAATGTCTGGAGATGTTTTTGGTTGTTACAACTGGGGATCCAGGGATGCTGCTAAATATCCTGCAATGCCTAGGACAGCCCTCCACAACAGAGAATTATCCAACTCAAAATGCCAGTCATTCTAAGGGGTTGAAAAACTCTGGACTAGATGAACTATCTCAATTCTCTTTCAAACTAACATTTAAATGTGGTGTTTCTTGTGTGTTAAACACACAAAGTTTTATTTCTCTTTTACACAAAGTCAGCTCTGGGTCTGGATGAATCCGTGGACAGTTTTCTTCCATGTGTTGGCTCCATATTTCAGCTGCTTTGATTTTTTTGACATCTTCTTATCAATATGTGCTTCTATTATTTCCTTGGCAGAGAAAGAGAAATCAGAGAGAATCATGCGCTGGATCTTAAATGCTTCTACATGGATGTAATAAATGTCTCTTCTAATTTTTAATAAGAGGTTTATTAAAATATATCCATATATCATAAAATTTACTCATTTAAAGCATAAAATTCGGCTGGGTGTGGTGACTCACACCTGTAATCCCAGCACTTTGGGAGGTTGAGGAGGGGTGGGTCTCTTGAGCCCAGGAGTTCGAGACCAGACTGGGCAACATGACAAAACCCCATCTCTACAAAAAATACAAAAATTAGCCGGGTGTGGTGGCATGCAGCTGTAATCCCAGTTACTTGGGAGGCTGAGGTGGGAGTATTGCTTGAGTTTTGAAGGCAGAGGTTGCAGTGAGCCAAGATTGTGCCACTGCACTCCAGCCTGGGTGACAGAGTGAGACAGTGTCTCAAAAAATTTTTTTCAGCTAAAATAAAGTGTAAAACTCTGTAGTTTTTAGTGTATCCACAAAATGTGTGCGATCATCTCTACACTCAATTTTAGAACATTTGAATCACCCCCAGAAGAAACCCTGTACCTATTAGCAGCCATTCCCCATTTTCCCTCAACACTTCCACCTCAGCCCTAGGCAACCACTAACATATTTTCTGTCTCTATAGGTTTACCTATTCTGGATATTACATATAAATGGAATCATGTCCTTAGTTGTCTTCTTTCACTTTGCATAATGTTTTCAACGTTCATTCATGTTGCAGCCTTCTCAATATTTCCTTTTTATTGCTGAATAATATTCCATTGTATGAATATAACACATTTTACTTATCCATTCATCACTTGATGGATATTTGAGCCATTTCTACTTTTTAGATGTTAGGAATAATGCTGCTATGAACACTTATACGCAAGTTTTTACATGGATATATGCCTTCATTTCTCTTAGGTTATATATCTAAGAAAGGAATTACTGAATCATATGATAACTTTATGCTTAGACTTTTGAGAAATTGCCAGACTGCTTTCCAAAATGACTGTGCCATTTTACATTCCCACAAGCAATGTATGAAGTTTCTAATTTTTCCGCACCCTCGCCAACACTTATTATCTGTGTTTTTGATTCTTGCCATCCTAGTGCGTGTGAAGTAGTTTCTCACTGTGATTTGGATTTGCATCTTCTTGAAGGCTAATGATTTGGAGCATCTTTTCATGTGCTTATTGTCTCTTCTTTATACAAATGTCTATTCAGATCCTTGGCCCATTTTTTATTTGGGCTATTTGTCTTTTTATTATTGAGTTTTAAGAGTTATTTTTATTTATTCTAGATATAAATCCCATATTAGATAGGTGATTTGCAACTATTTCCTCCCATTCTGTAGGTTTCTTGCTGGTGTCATTTGAAGAATAAAAGTTATGCATTTTGATGAAGTCAAATGTGTATGTTTTCTTTTGTTGCTTGTGCGTTTGATCTCATATCAAAAAACCATTGCACAATCCAAGGTCAAAAAGAGTTATGTCTATATTTTCTAGATTTTTATCATTTTAGTGCTTACATTTAGGTCTTTGATCTTTTTTGTGTTAATTTTTTATGTTTTTGTGAGGTAAAGATCCAATTTCATTCTTTTGCATGTGATATCTAATTATCCAGAACCACTTGTTGAGAAGGCTAGTTCTTCCTCACTGGATTATCATGGTACCCTTGTCAAAAATAAGTTGACTGTAAATGTGAAGGTATGAGTTGTTAAATACCTCTTCTGTGAGATCTATAATTTATTTTCTAAAAGGATAAGTTATAGGTCACATCTCAGATTACAATGACTCTTTTAAGTCAAAAAATTCAAAATAGAATTTATATTCAAAATTGTTTGTTCTCCCAGAGCTAGTTAATAAACTCTATTCACAGATAAAAGCATGCTTTCCCTTCAAAGGCATTCCACCAAGACAAGAAACACAAATCTAAATAAGCTAGGAAACTGTGGATACACAGAGGTTCTCCTTAATCTCTGGATATATGGTCTAATTTATCCCTTTTGTGCTCATTTTTTCCCTTTTATCCAGAAATATGACATTACCTTTTTATAAAATTCCTGGAGATTGATCATATCTCTAGTGTTTGGGTCTAGAATGTATTTCTTGGCTAAAACATCTCTTTACCCCACTTCCACATGTGGAAAGAAAGAAAACATGGGACTTTAATCTCACAAATGAGGCATGGGGTTGTTTCCTGAAATGAGACAAGGACTTTGGACAGGAACATGTTTGGGCTTGAGATGGTTTTCGTAAACCCAAATGATTCTAGTTCTAGTCTGCCTTTATCGCTCACTGTATTTTGTTTTCATTCATACTGATGAATAATAGACTTGATTGTGTTCCATCATTTATGTCATTAATATTTCCTTTATGTTTGAGTGCTGTGCAGTTCTCCTTGAAACTTGTATGGGGATTGAACTTGGTGGTGATTTAAAGTAATTAATTCATATGTCAGTTGTTAGCAAGGCCTAGTAATTAAAATCTACTTTAGAGTAAGTTATTAACTCTCCAAAAAAAAAAAA